GTCCTCGTCGCGCGCCCCGCCGCCGTCGCCGCGCAGCTGCCCAGGCGAGCACATGTCGCCGTCCCACAGCCGCCGAAGGGGCCGGGCCGCGACCCGCGAGGCAGCTCGCCGAGGGCCGCCCAGGACAGGCCTCCGAGTGCGCGGCCCGGGCTCGGGGAGGGGCGGCCCTGCCCGGCCCCTCCTGTCACCGCCCGCCCCGCCCCGCCCAGGGCGTGGCATCCCGGGGGCGGGGCGGCGACGATGGGGCGTGGCATCCCGGGGCGGGGCGACGCCTATGGGGGCGTGGCATCCCGGGCGGGACCAAGGCCGGTGTGGGCGGGGCGACGTCGATGGGGGCGGGGCGACGTCAGGGCGGGGCTGATGGGGCAGCGCGGCAGGCCGAGACTGTGTAACAGACTGTGACTGCGTGTGTGTGAAACACACGCTTTCTCTCCAGCGTGGTCCCCCTGGTTTTCCATGGCACTGGGCTGTGCCTGGGTGTGCTGCCAGCTGCCTGTCCGTAGTAGGGTTGTGGGCCAACTCAGTAGCCCCGGTCCCCTCTACCCGCCCCCCACACTGAAAGACTTTTAAGTTTTCTTTCCTGTAGAAATGTTAAGTTTTCTCCCTAGATACTTAGTTTCTTAGCCCTTGGCTTTGATTACTCTTTCTAACCAGCTGGTGAATCCTAAAGATTGCTCCTAGGCTGAATCAAAGAATTTTCCTATCCCCTTGCTTCTTGATTGTTGTGTAAATCAGTTTCTGAATCCTAAACAATAGATTGTTTACAGAAGTCTCCTACCCCTGCTTCAGATAACTACTTGAAAGCCTGAGACTTCCTAATATCCCCCAGGCCAGTAAGTCTAATGATTCTTTACAAACCCATTCTGGGCCCAGACAATTGACACCACCTGAGTGTCCTGTTACACCTGAATGGCCACAGGCTTCATAAGAGTTATCAGATTTATTAATAAAAATCTATTTTCCTCATTTAGGGGCCTTGGGGATACAGATGACACCCCAATAAGATTGCCAGTCGCAACCAAACAAACCAACATGGTCTTCCAGGCGGAGCTCAAGACCCCTTCCTCTCATCTGAGATCAGCTAGGGTGAGCGTTCCCTGTACCCTCCAATAGGCAGGGACAGCTCTACACCCCTGCCCAGCAGGAAGCAGGTACAGAAGAAAAGACCGCCTGTACCTCAGCTTCCCATAGTGTCTTTATGGGGATCACGTCTCTCAATGGGAAGGCTAGGCAGGCAAATAGAGGCAGGCATTGGGTCTCTGCGTTTCCACACGTCCCACAGAATGCAACCACCCAGGAGATCCCCCCTCTACACCCAAAACTCCCCTTTGTATTATAATTATCTACCTCTTCGGGAAAACAAATGGGTACAAAATACCCAACTAGGTCAGAACAGTCCCTCCCACCTGTGCAGTACCTCTTGTCAATCACAGGTGCCTATCAATTGGTCCCACGCCCAAAGGTGGAACAGCCCATTCTAGAGAAGTGATGATAACTCCAAGTCCAGAGAAGTCTGGCCCTTTCTTACTCCTTCTCTTTTTTGAGCCTTCTGAGCCTCGCCTTTGCACACGGCCTGCTCCAAACTCTGCAATGTAATTTCTCTTCTAATAATGGGCCCTTGAGCCATTCTCTACTGCGCGGGCCCACTTCTACTTCTTTGAAATGTCCTATCTCTTCTAATAAACTGTTTTTTTCACTGCTTTACTCCAGTATCTTGTTCAATTCTTTGCTCGAGTTGCCAAGGACCTGGACTTTGCGCCAAAAAGGGCCCACTTTCCAACAACTGTAGCAATCGAACCCTGGCAAGTAATACATATTTCTCTCTCTTGTTCCTTCTGTGTCCTCTCTATGTCTCTCTGTATGTTGGTTGTTAGAGCCTTGGTAGTATTTGGCGGTGTATCTGCCTTTGTGTGTATTTCTATAAATGGGTAAGAATATGTCTCTCTCAGTGGGTGTTAAGGAGGATTCATCTAATTTATAATTCATTTTCTTACTACCTGTGATCTAATGTTATGATTTATTTATTTTTATTTTTTTTAAGGATTTTTATTGGGGAATTGAGGGGATGGGAACAGCACTGGGGAATTGGGAGAAGGGGAACAGACAAGTTGCTGTCGTTTTGGTCTTCAGTCTAGTTGTGGAGGACGTTGCTTTACTGGCCCAAGTTGGCATCATCATTGCGCTCTTCCCGGGCGAGGCAGATCAGTCGCCAGCTTCTGGATGGCCGCTCACAGCGGCTGCTGCCGGCTCACGCTGGCTGCTGGCTACACATGGTAGCCCATGGCAGCCCACTGCACC